CTGATAAGTCTATGTTTTTTGACAGTGGAAGGACACTACGTGACATATTGCAGGCCCTTCCCCGGGAATGGATATCTGAGGATCTGATGGAGGCACTTATGTATAGAGGAGTTCATCTAACTCCTACAATGTGAGGGAAAGAATTAATTCTTTCATATTTTATTTATTTTTAGTTCATGGCAATAAATGTATTCTCTATTCATATTCAACTAGTATGTATTATAGTTTCTTTAGTTCATATTATATCTAGGTTTGAAATGGGAGATTGGGTGAAATTCAAAAGAAATGTCACTACTCCCACTTATGGGTGGCAAGGTGCTAGCTCAAAGAGCGTTGGCTTTGTTCAAAATGTTCAAGGCAGAGACAATCTCATAGTTTCATTTTGTTCTGGAGATGCTCATGTTTTAGCAAATGAAGTTGTGAAAGTCATTCCATTAGACAGGGGCCAACATGTACAGCTTAAATCAGAGGTTAAAGAGCCCAGGTATAGCTTTGCATTAATTCTACTTACAGCAGGTCTGTGGTTTCTAATCCTTTTATCTCTTGCTGTGATTGATGGGATTCAAAGATGGACACTCACTGACCTCCTGCTTGCTTTGTGAAGATCTGTAAAAGTGATAGAATTAACAGAGCTGGAACTTGAAATGGCATACAATGCAGTAATGTCATGAAAGAGAATTAACAGAGCAGTAATGAAATTGGTACAACATAGATTATTAATTCTGTCACTTCTGATCCATCAGAAGACGACATGCGATAAATCACCCTGGCTTAAACTTCATATCTCTTTTCTTTTTTTCCCGTGTGTGTGTGTGAGTGTTTTAGATGTAGCATGCTTTGTGGAATTATGGAAGGGTTTCTTTAATCTTTATTTGTTTACCTAGAGAGTTATTTGTCTAGTTTGAGATTTATTCCTGTCCTGCTACTGCATTTTTGTCCTTTTAACAGCTTACATTTTGCGATTTGGTAAACATGCATCATTATTTGCTTGAAGCATATGATAATAGTAAAACCTATATGTAGAACAAACCAGGAAAGGTGAAAACATAGTATTTATTTAAAATAGAGCTTTCCAGTGCCTTGAAATGACTAGCTGAGAAATATGCCTAAAGATGCCAATGGCTGGAGTTTGGACAGCAAAATAAGGCCATGGTGACAGGCATATATATTAAGAAAATTGTGAGGGAAAAACTCTTGTTGAATACGGAAGCATTTTGTTCTAGCTCTTGTTTCAGTTAACGGAAACAGTTGCAGAGGATGACACTTGTTTAACTATTGAAACTCTGTTAACCGGTTTCTCATTTATGGGCATATGCTTACAACCCTTGCTGTTTTTGTATTCTTCTATGATATTTGGTTGATTGTCTTTGTTAGGTTTGGATGGCGTGAACAGTCTCGTAACAGCATAGGCACAGTATTATGCATTGATGATGATGGAATCCTACGGGTTGGGTTTCCTGGAGCATCCAGAGGATGGAAAGCTGACCCAGCAGAGATGGAACGGGTTGAGGAATTCAAGGTTGGAGACTGGGTTCGTATTCGTCCAACTCTTACTTCTACAAAGCATGGGTTAGGATCTGTGACACCAGGAAGCATTGGTATTGTATCTTCTATCAGACCAGACAGTAGCCTGCTGATAGAACTCAGCTATCTTCCGACTCCATGGCATTGTGAACCGGAAGAGGTTGAGCATGTTGCTCCTTTCAGGGTAAGAAATAGACTGACTTGTTTGCCCTTTATGGCACATTTGGTTTGCCATAGCATTAACACAGTTGATCTTACAGATTGGAGATCGGGTATGTGTGAAGCGATCAGTTGCAGAACCTAGATGTGCTTGGGGAGGTGAGACACATCATAGTGTTGGAAGAATCTGTGAGATTGAGGATGATGGTCTCTTAATAATTGATATACCAAACCGACCAATACCATGGCAAGCTGATCCATCTGATATGGAGAAGCTAGAAAATTTTAAGGTGGTGATTCTTTCTGTTGGCCATTTTCTGCTATTCGTTCTTTTATTTGTCTGTTGTAAGATGCATCATTAATGTCTTCCCTTCGTACATTGCTGAAGAGCAGGTTGGAGATTGGGTCAAAGTAAAATCTTCAGTGTCTTCCCCAAGATATGGATGGGAGGATGTTACTAGAAACTGTATTGGATTAATTCATAGCTTGGAGGAAGATGGCGATGTGGGTATTGCTTTCTGCTTCAGAAGTAGACCTTTTTGTTGCTCTGTCACTGATGTAGAGAAAGTGCCCCCTTTGGAAGCAGGGCAAGAAATTCACATGATGCCATCTGTTACTCAACCTCGACTTGGATGGTCAAATGAATCACCAGCTACTGTTGGAAAAATAGTGACAATTGACATGGATGGTGCTCTCAATGTAAGCTTACTAGTTAAGCTTCTAAATTGTGCAAGACATCATGCTTAAAATGAGTCTAACCATATTGAGTTCTGGAGTATCATTGAAAATCATACTTAAACAGGATCTATTACTACTATATTTAGCTGTTCAATGATAGGCGCCATCGACTTGGCTCTAGAGCAATGACTTTCGTCTTGTGAGATTAAGTCCTGGCATTTTAAGAAAACCATTGCTGATTTAGCCTTGCCAACACGCTTTTCATGTCTCTCCATTTGATATTACATGTAGGTGGTGAATATATTGCCACTGCTGCTATTACAAATGCTAAACTTAAAATAAGCATTTTCATCGACATGGGTATAGATTACCCCACTTAATTATCATAGTTGAAAAAGTTATTGTGCTGAATCTTTTGTAGGTGAGAGTCACAGGCAGGCAGAGCTTGTGGAAAGTTTCTCCTGGAGATATAGAACGACTTTCAGGATTTGAAGTGGGTGATTGGGTACGTTCAAAACCAAACATAGGAACCAGACCAAGTTATGATTGGAATGGTGCTGTGAAGGATGGTATAGCAGTTGTACACTGTGTACAGGATTCTGGATACTTGGAGTTGGCTTGCTGTTTTCGTAAAGTGAGGTACTTCGCTCATTATACAGATGTTGAAAAGGTCCCTTGCTTTAAAGTAGGGCAGCATGTTAGGTTCCGAAGTGGCTTAGTTGAACCAAGGTGGGGCTGGAGAGGTGCTCAGGCTGAATCTCGAGGTGTTATAACCAGCATTCACGCTGATGGAGAAGTAAGGGTATTGTTCTTTGGTTTGCCAGGTTTGTGGCAAGGAGATCCTGCAGACCTTGTGATTGAGCAGATGTTTGAAGTAGGGGAGTGGGTAATGTTGAAAGATAATGCAAATAAATGGAAATCCATTGGACCAGGCAGCATTGGCATTGTACAAGGAATAGAGTTTAATGGTGATGAATGGGACGGAAGCACTTGTGTTGGCTTTTGTGGGGAGCAAGAAAGTTGGGTTGGACCAACTTCCCATCTTGAAAAAGTTGACAAACTCTTCATTGGGCAGGAGGTTAGAGTTAAACAATTTGTAAAGAATCCAAGATTTGGGTGGGCGGGGCACGCTCATGCTGACATTGGAACCATATCAGCAATTGATGCTGATGGAAAGCTTCGAATATACACTCCACCAGGATCAAAAGCATGGATGCTGGACCCATCAGAAGTAGAATTAGTGGCAGAGGAGGAGATACAAATTGGAGATTGGGTGAAGGTTAGAGCATCAGTTTCAACCCCAACCCATCAGTGGGGAGAAGTGGGTCAATCAAGCATTGGGGTGGTACATCGAATGGAAGGCGAAGATCTGTGGGTGTCATTCTGTTTCATGGAGAGACTATGGCTTTGTAAGGCATGGGAAATGGAAAGGGTGAGACCATTCAAAATCAGTGACAAGGTAAGGATCAGAGATGGACTTGTTAGTCCAAGGTGGGGATGGGGAATGGAGACACATGCTAGCAAAGGAGAGGTGGTAGGGGTTGATGCTAACGGAAAACTAAGGGTAAAATTCAGGTGGAGGGAAGGGAAACCCTGGGTAGGAGACCCTGCTGATATTGTCCTTGATGAGAAGTGATCTGAAATGAGAGAATCTTTTACGCATCAACTTGCTTCTATTTTTTAGCTCTTGAGCCCGTTTTCTGGGCTTGAGCTTGTACAGACTTCTAGAGCTTTACTCTCATTTTAGGCAGATGTCTGTGAATATCTTTACTAGGTTAGAATGCCATTGGTCAGGATAGTGGTGAAAAGGAATTGAGTATTTGGAGATTCAGAGGCAGCCAATGGAAAATTGGCTGTTGGCTATTCATATGCAGTATTCTCAGGTCTCAGCCAAAGCGCTTCTCAGATTATGAGGTATATATAATTATTCATATTTTTTGTACAGCCAGCACTCTACAATCAACTTAAATGCATCTTGTTTTTGCCACTGATCTTTCTTCACGATGCTATTAAAGATTCCATTATGCAGCGCCTGCTCGCAAATGCAGATATAATAATCCCACTGTGTCTGTAATGCCGAATGTTCTTCATTTTTTAAGTATCTCTGTTTGAACTGGTAAACCAAGGTTCTTAAGAATCAGATATGTAGTTGACTGCATCACAATGGGGAAATGTATTTAATCTAACAGAAAATTCTCATTAGGAACCAAGTTTAAGGAAAATGGGAGTTTTTCTGGCGCAACTTGCACAATAAAATATTTTCAAAAGAAATATAAATAACAGAGATGAATAATGAGTAAGGGCATTTGCTCCATTTAGTCTGAGACTCGGTCAGGACGTTGTTGGAATTGGAGAAATCCTCCACTTCTAAGTTTTGATTAATTTCTTTAATAGTTTGGCAAAAGTTGAGAACTATCCTGTGAGCACATGTCTTGGCGTAGATTCAGGTCTTGTGTTCTTAGCATCGTGCGAACTTGAAAGCCCAACAATTTATAATCTTCATGTCCTAACGTTTAGATAATTTTACATCAGATTTTACGACTGGCTTTATAATTAGTACCTCAGACAGATAAAAACTAATTTGCGAAATGATAGCCTTCACATCGCCCGCTGAAGGGCACGATATGACCAGAGGTATATTATGTTCAACACACGTACAAAGGCATGAATATGAATTGGGGGTACAGAAGTAAATCACTTAATCGCATGAACTAGTACTTCAATTCAGAAGATTTCAGAATTAACTCTTACGAATCATTCTGAAGAGATCAATTCACAAAGACTTGAACAACAGATTGTGTAATGCAGATCACAACTAATATCAACCCAAAACTATAACTTTTATCGGAGAAGATACTGGTACCCTATAGATCAGTTCTCAACAAATCAGTCAGTTTTATTATGAAAGATCCTCCCTTGCAATACTCACCAATAATCCTTATGGCATTTGGAAAAGGAATCAAGAGCATCCCTCATCCATTCATGTCTGCATCTTTCAAATGCCTCCGGTACAGTCAGCCAACTCCTGTTTCTGGTACTTTGCTCAGGCCATGACTCAAGTTCTTCCTTGACATGCAAAGCAAACATCGCTGCTTTGCATAAACCTTCTGGACTGAATTCATCCTGATGTGTCTTGCTCCTAAATTCATAGAACCCAAGAAAATCCTGGAAACCGATGACCCCAAGCATTAAAGATCCAGCAGTCTTGTTTACAGTTAAATCAACATAATAGGAGTTTCAAGGTATAACAGTTTTATGCAATGACAAGATCAAAAGCATGCCAAACACATTGATAATACCATTATCACGCCATGCTTTTAACTTTGCCCATTATAAAGTATTAATTATGTGATATTCAAAAACTAATCTAGTCCCAAATTCTTTAAACTTCACGTAAGTCTTTCATTTCATATGTTTATATGTTTATGTTCACTCTAGTGCTTTCAATTGTCCCAAGCTACACAAAGCTCTTTGTGAACCTCTATGGTCATTATCAACAGTCACAATGACAGAGAATGACAAGCTGATATCACCTTCAAATATGCTTTTCAAATTCTGAACTAGAAACCTTGCAAATACTCAATTATATTGATATTACAGAAACTCAAAAATAAAGTCAAATGCACATTCATGGAAAAGTTTTCACCTTTAGTTCTCCTCGAACACCTGCCTCTTCAATAGCTTCTCTTGCAGCTGCCTCCTTAACAGTTTCATCGTTCTCCCAACCTCCCTTCAATGGAAAGAAGAACCATAAATCAAGAAATTAACTAGTTGATTGATGTCACATGTCAATAACATTTATGCAAAAAAGAAACCAGAACTATGTGGGGAGAATTTTTTAAAATAGGTCCTTGATATGAAGTTTCCGGCAGTTTATGGTGGGGCAGTTTAAACAGCATGGTGTGCTATTTAATGGAGGTATCTCATGACTCATCAGTCAGGTTTTATGGGGCAAGGTCATCAAAAGTGAATTTACACACGAAAGTGACTAAGGACTATAAAAGCAAAGGACACAAGATGTCTTCAAGTGTAATCTACAGTTATTATGAGTAAATTTATAACAGTGTACAAGGGTGACTGTTTTTAGTGCACAAATTTACAATTAATTTACTATGAGTTACCTAAGAGCTTAAGGACAGTATTTTAGTCAATAAATAATACCTAACTTATTGCATTACATTGGCCATCAATAGCCAATGTAAAACTTTGTTGAATCTATCATGAACATGGACAATAGACGTTATAAAGTTAATGCTAGGTCGTTGTCCGTAAGTAACGCGTTGCATGGCTCGAGTACAGTGATAAGTGAGTTAGAGCCGCTGCATTGGCGCCCGGATGTAGTGTTAAATGAGCAAGGGCTACCGCGTCATCCTGGACGCACGCAGCTAAAGAAGTTAGTCCATGAGAGCAAAATTAGATTTGGTACTTGAAATGTTGGGACATTGAATTGTAAATCTGTAGAGGTTGTAGGGGTTATGATTCAAAGAAAAATCAATATTCTTTGCCTGCAAGAAACAAAATGGCGTGGAGAAGAAGCTAAGGATATTCAAGGTTTCAAACTTTGGTATATAGAAAAAGTAAGTGCACGCAATGGAGTAGGCATCATTATAGATAAGGAGTGGAAGAAGAACGTTGTAGAAGTTAGCAGAATTGGAGACAGAATTATTTTCTTAAAAATGATAATAGGACGTGAAACTATTAATATTGTTAGCGCTTATGCGCCGCAAGTCGAGACAGAAGCCAGTCTTAAGGAATTATTTTGGGAGTATCTGGAGGGGTTGATTCGACATATACCACAGAGTGAAAAGATTTTTATTAGAGGAGACTTTAATGGGCATGTCGGGAGGGAAGCTGGTCAGTATGCGAAGGTGCATGGTGGTTTTGGTTTTGGAGAGCTAAACAATGGAGAACAAACTCTTCTTGATTTCTCATTAGCGTATGATTTTAAGATTGCCAACACTTATTTCAAAAAAAGAGATGAGCATCTCATCACTTACAAAAGTGAAGCCTCAAGGTCACAGATTGATTTTCTTTTGGTTAGGAACACAGATAGAAGACTTTGGACAAATTGCAAGGTGATCCCCGAAGATGCTGTAACAACACAACATAGGGTCCTAGTCCTTAATGTGTGTATTATGAGTAAAATCCAAAAACGTCGACAAGTAGTAGCACCAAGGATTAGGTGGTGGCAATTAAAAGGTGAGAAGCAAGATATTTTCAAGCGAAATCTTTTGGATAAAGAAAGTTGGGAATCTCAAGGAAGTGCTAACATCATGTGGGAGGATATGACTAAAAAGATACGGGAGGTTGTAAAAGTAGTTTTGGGAGAATCAAAAGGTTCTGGTCTGAGAGATAAGGAATCTTGGTGGTGGAATAATAGTGTACAGGACAAAATCAAGTATAAGAAGAACTGTTTTAAAGCTATACATTTGTGTAACAATAAGGAAAATTGGGAGAGGTACCGTATGGCTAAGAAGGAAACTAAGAGAGCTGTGGGTGAAGCTTGTTCTAAAGCTTTTGAAGAATTTTATAAGAGCCTTAAGACGAAGGAAGAAGAGAGAAATATTTATAAGATTGCTAAGAGTAAGGAAAGAAAATCAAGAGATCTAGAACAGGTAAGGTGTATTAAGGATGAAGAGAGAAGAACTTTAATTACAGATGATAAAATTAAAAATAGATGGGAGACTTACTTTTCTAAACTTTTCAATGATGGAGAGGGTTCATCTAGTAACTTGGAGGATTTAGTAACTGGTGAAGGAAAATAAAATTTGTCATTCTATCGAATAATACGTGATAAGGAGGTAAAGGAAGCTCTTAAGAAAATGACAAATGGTAGAGCCAACGGACTTGATTGTATATCTATCGAAGCGTGGAAATGTTTAGGTGAAGAAGGGGTGAGATGGTTAACTAAGTTATTTAATGTGATTTTACAGTCCAAGAAAATGCCTGATGAGTGGAGGAGCAGTACATTAATTCCTATTTATAAAAATAAAGGAGATATTCAGAATTGTACTAACTATAGAGGGATTAAACTCATGAGCCACACAATGAAATTGTGGGAGAAAATAATTGAGCACAAGTTGAGATTGGAGACAAGTATTTCTGAGAATCAATTTAGTTTTATGCCAGGTACATCAACTACAGAGGCGATTTATCTACTAAGGGGATTAATGGAAAAGTATCGTTGTAAAGATAAAGATCTACACATGATTTTTATTGATTTGGAAAAAGCTTATGACCGTTTACCAAGAGAAGTGCTTTGGAAAGCGTTAGAAAAAAAGGGAGTACGGATTGCTTATATTAAAGCCATACAAGATAAATATAAGGGGGTAAAAACTAGTATAAGAACGCCTAGTGGTCAATCAAAGGATTTTCCCATAAAGATTGGACTACATCAGGGATCATCTCTGAGTTTTTATTTGTTCAACTTGATATTAAATGTTTTGACAGAACAAATTCAAGGGGAAATTTCGAAATAAATGCTCTTCACGGATTATATAGTTCTTATAGCAGAAACAAGAGAAGAGGTTAATTGCAAACTTGAGTTATGGAGGAGGACATTGGAGTCGAAAGGTTTTCGTCTGAGTAGAAGTAAGAAGGAATATTTATATTGTAAATTTGATAAAGGACTATTTGACAATAATTTGGAAGTGAAATTAGGAGATCAAATTATACCTCAAGTGGAAAAGTTTAAATATTTAAGAGCCATTATTCAAAATGATGGCGAAATCAGTGGAGATATTTCACATAGAATTCAAGCTGGGTGGTTTAATTGGAGAAAAGCTAAAGGAGTTATTTGCGACCATAAAGTGCCTAATAAACTTAAAGGAAAGTTTTATCGCACTGCTATCAGACCGGCAATGTTATATAGTAGTGAATGCTGAGCTCTAACGAGACAGCAAGAGCATAAAGTTGGAGTAGCAGAGATGAGAATGTTATGATGGATATGCGGACATACACGTAAAGATAAAATTCGAAATGAGCACGTACGCGAAAAAGTGAGGGTGGCACCTATTGAGGAAAAAATGGTAGAAAATCGGTTGAGATGGTTTGGGCATGTACAAAGAAGACCAAGGGAGGCACCAGCAAGAAGAGTGAAACATATAACTTTGAGTCCGATTAAGAGAGGTAGAGGAAGGCCTAAGAGAACACTCTTGAAAGTTGTTGAACGCGATCTCTTAATTAATAATATTCCTAAAAGCTTGATAAATGATAGAGCACAATGGCGTCTTGCAATCCATATAGCCGATCCCACCTAGTGGGATAAAGGCTTGTTGTTGTTGTTGTTGTATTGCATTATTTTAATCAGGAGGTTAAAATAATGCTTCTTGTTGTTGTTATTGTTTAATCAGGAAATTATAAACTTCACACCAATTAGTATTATGGACTTCAATTCTTCAAATCATTGCAGGCACAGCCATGGTGACTTGGACATGAAGGGAAACGAAGTAAACCACAAAACTTCACAAAATCAATATCAAAATTATTTTTCCATAATCAAAGGGATAACTATTTATTTGACTAAAGCACTATCAATAGACAACTACCATAAAAAATTATAATCCCAATTAAATACATCAATAGGATAACACCCTGTGCTTTAACAAAAATTATTGATTATTGATTATTACTAACTAAATCCTAAAATTGTCCCATTTAACTGAGAAGAAAATAATAAGTCCTGAAGGACATTGAATCCTTCATAATTCTGCTCTCTCATTTGACATCACAGTTCTTCTCCCTCATCTTCAAAGAAGGAAATCAGAGGAGGCAAGAATTTGGTATATAATTCCATTACTGACATAGTAGTAACTATTAAGTGCAATCTTAGTCATACAACAACAAATGGAGTACAGAAATACTAAAAACCACGATATGCATGCAAGTGAATATTCCAGAGTTCAGACACCATACGTTCATACCTTTGGAAAAAGAAGACCTGGTCCACTTTGTGAGCTAATCATGAGAACTTCAATAATCTTCTCTGAACTGGACTCTCCACTGCTATTAGAAATTCTATACCTGAATGGTATACACCTGCAACTCAATAGGCAGCCTCCGAGTCAGATCTCTAGTTAGATGTATGCAAAACAATCACATCGCAGCTTTCTTTAAACCTGGGGAAAATTTCTCAGCCTAAATAATTAGTTCAAAATATTAAAAGCTGCTTCATTATACTCACAAGTAAATTTAAGCATTTCAGTTGTCTATATAAATGTTTACCGCTATCTCAAGCCAACGAAAAAAAAAAAAAAACTCTATATTACGCCAATACATTATCTCTAGAGAGATCACTTCACACTCAATTTACCATGGTGGAGAACAAAATTTGTTCCCTAATGCATCCTACAAAGCCCTTCATAGATAAGGATACCGCCTAGTGATAGGTATTATCTGCTCCTTAGAATGAAGCCAGCAATTAAAAAAAAAAAAAAACGAGGCCAGCAATTAAAAAAAAAAAACACACATTTTCCAAATGCCCGCACATGATTTTCGCACCGTAACAGCCATTATAATGTCCTTGTAGTTTATAATATAAAATACAAATACAATTGAACTGCCTCCTAGTGTATGAAGTAAAATAAAATGATTGACAAGACAGCTGCTTAAAACTAATCGGAGGGAAGAGAATACCGTAATTTGGCAAAAATTATCCACGAAACATGACCAATTGAATTCAACGCATCCAATAAAATATATATATATATATATTGACCCAATGGGTCGAATAAACCAACCTATTTTAATATATATCTGTCTATCTACCTTTATCACCCTTGCCAAATCCACGAATAGCCCAAATTACTAGTCAACACGGCGGGAAATTATCAGCCAGAACAACCTATCAACCTTTATAAGCCTATCTGGAAGCCAAGATGTAATCTCTTAGCAGAAAAGCTAGCTCCAGACATCGATAGATAGATTAAGATGAAAATGACATCTTTCTCACCAACTACTAACAAAGCCACCACTCAAATGGGGGGAATCAATATTTAAACAAGCCTCACACATCACATGAATGAATAAAAACAAAATAGAGGAAGAGTGTGGAAAGGGTACCCGGCAACAAGGCGAAAACCATTCTCGTACCGCTGCTGAAGCCGACCCGTACGTGCCACCAAGTCAGACATGATAAGGAAGAAACCCAGTCTCAATAGCACTCCTCAGAATTTACTAGTTATTCGCCATGAAACCCGATTGCAGGCGCACGAATACGAGATGCTCACGGCCGCACTAGACAAGAACCCCGCCATTGCTGTCCATGGTTTCAGCAGCAGTAATCGACGACGCTTCTTCGCATCACCTGAATGGCCTCCTCCGCAGACGTTTCCTCCTTAGGGTTTTCAGACCATTGCAGAGAAAGACGTAGGGACAGAGGGAGCAACAGGAAACAAGTGGTTGATTTAGAGAGAGAGTGCGAAAGAACCAAAGGAGGAAAAGAAGCGCCTACAACGGATCTCGATCGGAGACGGTGGGGACGCTCAGGTCATGTGGATATGGTCAACATGTGGGGCCCATTGGGGAGATCATTAGTGTGTTCACTAACGAGAGCACTTCTGAACATGGATGAATGTTTCCACTCATACGGTGACAAGTGGAATATGACTGGGTTCAGCTCACTGAGAAAAGTTTGATTGGAAGATATATCGATGAAGTGAGATATGCGTGGCATTGGATCGAAAGCAGTTGAAGAAGTCAGCGAGAGGACGTTTCAAAAGCCAAGGGGTGTTTGCTTTCACGAAATGGACGGGACGGAACGATTTAATGTGAAGATTTTGTAGGACCCTCCTGTTCTTTGGATCTCCTAAAAGAAGGTTCTTGACGTCTTTTTAATGAATATACTTTTTTAAGATCATGACGGTTTGGATTTTTTTTGAGTGAATGATAAATAAATCTAAGCAAACAGATGACAAGAAAATATGAGGTAATTATAATGATCTGTTTGAATTGGAAAAAAAATATAAGATGAAAGAAAATATAATAGAAAAAAATAAAAAAAAATAAATTTTTTTTGGATGAGAAATAAAAAGTGAAAGGAAAAAAAATGAAAAAAAAAATGGGGTGTGAAACTCACCATATTGAATGTCTCCATTTCCCTTCATTTCTCTTTCATTACTCTTGAATTAAAACTTTTCAATGGTTCAAATTTAATTTTTCATAAAATTATTTATTTTAATTTTATATAAAATATATAAATAAAATATTATATTTTTAAATGATTTAGATTAAAATTTAATAATTTAAATTTATTTATTCATCTTTGTATAAAATAAAATAATAATTTTATCAAAATTTTAATCTGAACCGTTAAAATTTTGATCTAAAGTGATAGGAAGAAAGTGAAGTGAAGGGAAATAGAGACACTCTCTTCCCTCATATTTTCTCTTCAAGTTTTCTCTCCACAAATGAAGAGATTTTGAGAGAAAAATATTCATTTCATATTTACTCTTGTGCTTCTTTACACATGATTCTTTACTCCATCATTTTCTACCCTCCATTTTTTACCTCAAGATCTGAGTGCTCTGATTCACATTACATTTGCTACAATAATTTATTTGCTATGCATAATAAGTAATAGTAATCATCATGAAAATAATTTAACGTTGATTCACATAAAAGTTTTTGGCTTAGAAATTAATGACCTCGCATTACTCTGTCTCAACATTGTACATGTCTCTATCTTCTCTACAAATTGCATATTTTTATAAATGTGTGCCTTTCATATTTTTATGATATTATATATATAACTTATTTTTAGGTTAAAGTTTAATTTTACTCTTATACTTATTTTTTTAAGGACGTTAGAAACCTTATACTCTTAAGTGGGGCAGTTTTACCCCTAACGTATTTTTTTGAGAAGTAAAAAACCCCCTGTTAATGAACCATTGACTCTACTATTATATGCTAATATGACATGTCCATGAGGTTTATGCACTGTAATAGGTAAAACTTTAACCATGTCCTTTGATGTTAATTTGCCTTGAATTTTTTTTTAAGAGTGCTGAGAGCCCTAAAGTCTTTTTTAAGAGCACTGGATATCTTAAATTTTATTAAAATAAAATTTAATAAGTATTGCCAAAATATTAAATATTTTCATATTTAATAATTTAAATATTATTATTTATAAATATTCATTCAAAATGTATAAATTATTTTTTAAATGTTAATAACTCAAACTAGCATTTTAGAAAATTATAGATGATTTTTTATTTTTTATATATTGATCTTTAATTTTCTTTTCTAGATAGTGTCCAAATCGTTATACTTTTTATATATATCAGAAATTACTTATATTTTTAATATTGGGTTTAGTTCTTTAATTTTGTTGGTCAACTGACGATTTTTCTCTGAAATATTACATTACCCAACTTTAATACTCTCCATACGTGGTAATGTTAGAGTAAAATCTTAAATATGACAATTAGGACCAATAAAATGACAATAAAAATGTTTATTTAAAAGATATCACTTATTTTATTAATGTGTTACAAAAAAGTTACTTGATAAAAAAAAATGGAGAGTTGAAAAGAAAAAATTCCTTCATTAATATAGAGGTCCATTCCTTTCATTTTTAATACAAAATTATAAAATATTAAAAATATTAAATTAGAAAGTGTAATGTTTTAAATAATAATATTTAAATTATTAAATATTAAAATACTTAATATTTTAATAATATTTATTAAATTTTATTTTAATAAGACTTCAGGATACCCAGTGCTCCTAAAAAAAACCCTTAGGATGCTCAGCGCCTTTGAAAAAAGAGTTTATGAATAAATTAACACTAAAGGACACGATTAAAGTCTTATATGTCATTATGCGTGGGCCCCATGCACATGCCATATTAGCATATAATGGTAGAGTTAATAGTTCATTAATGAAAGGGGATTTTTACTCCTTGAAAAGGTAGTTCAAAAGTTAAACTGTCTTACTTAAGAATATAGGGTGCCTAATGTTCCTAAAAAATAAGTACAATGATAAAATTGGATCTTAACTCTTTATTTTTTATGTTCAAGTTCCATATGCTCGCTGTGGAACTCAAAATTATAGGTAAAAGCAAAATGTTCTCACCAACTAATTATGATCTAAATTGAAATTTATTTATTTATTTATTATATTTAATTTTTAAAAATTATTCACTTTTTAATTTTGTAAATAAAAAATAACATATTTTTACTGAATTATTTAGTTTTAAAATACAATAACATGAAAGTAATTTCTACAGACTAATTTATTTTAAAGTATTTTGGTGATGTCAATTTTCATATAATGTTTGCTTTCAATATATTTTTATACATATAATTACATTAAACATATATATATATATTGAAATAAGAGTATTATAGTCGTTGTGATATTTGCTCTTTTTTTTTCCATATTTTCTTCTGTTCATTCAAACATAAAGGGTGATAATATTTTTTTTTAGTTTTCTCTTCTCTCTATTTTTTTTTCTCTCAATTTTTCTTCCCATCTAAATAGAGGGTTAAAATTCTGATAGATTTATTTGACATTTTTTTGTGAAATTACAGTTTTAATCATTTGTAAAATAATAGAAAGAAAATTTATTTTTATTTGTTACTCAATTTTAGTCGGAGTCATTTCCACGCCTAAAGTTGTCATTGATGTACAAAAAATTAGTCGACATTTACCATTTAATTTTCGTCATTTTCCATCTAAAATAGTCATTTCCACATTTAAAGTAGTCACTAATTTACAGAAAATTAATTATCGTTTTCTACTCAATTTTAACTAATAACCTAATCAAAATAGTAATTTTCCATATGAAATTGTCACGCTTGTAGACCCTTGTATGTATATAAATAACTTTTAAAAAGTAATAATTTTTAAATTGTATGTGCTCAATAATTTTCCATTATTTTTATGTGTTATAGAGTTAAAAAATCAATCTTAAATTTGAAAAAGATTGCAAAAATTGGAATCATAAAAGATGTTCATGGTAAACAAAAAAAATAATATAATACATAAAAATATTAAGTAAAATGATACTATAAAATAATTAATTTTCATAAAAAAATGAAGGGATTATGCATGTGTGTGTGTGTTTAGGTTAAACAAGGCAAGGTTTGACTCTAGCCTTATGCCTTGCTTGAATAACTCGATGAGTTTAGGTCAGACCAAGCCACCAACATAGCCTTATGCTAATGTGCCAACCTTTTACATATTTTTTTTGTGTAGAGTAGTCAATTAAATTATAAGAAAAAGGGTTATCATGAAAAAAAAAAGATAATAACACACAAAACAAATAAAAAACTTCACCTCAAAGTGTATCAAACCAAAGTCTGCACCAAATCGATGATCAAAAGGATACGATGTCTAACTTTTAATGGCACGAGTAAAATCATGGATAAAGACCAAGGTAAAGAGATATGTTGTAAGGGCCAACTTAAAGAGGGTAATAATCAAGTGGTTATTTCTATGCAAAAAAGACAATTCCCAATATCACATAAAAGAGAGGATGGAGTGCTCTGTTAGCTTCGCTAGCTCTCTTAAAGGTGAACCACTTCCACCGCTGAATAGAGATCGCTCCACTAAAAAGGTCAAGTTGTGTGGTGAAGATGAAATGGAAATAGCTAATGAGGAAGAATATGAGGATGTTAATGATGACATAGAGGCTGATGTCTCTATTGATTCATCTGATAAATGAAGAGCATGTCTCTGCTACTCTATCCCTAGGTTTAGCCCCTAAAACGCAAGCTACGATTGAAGTTCCTATAACGGAGGCAACAACTCAGCCAAAAATTTAGATTCCTTCATTTAAAGAAAAACTCCTTAATGGTGGCTCCAAGACCACTCAGGATGAAGGTGATATTAAGCTTGCAAAAGATTATGTCATTATTGGGGAAAATGATAGAATACCAATGAATAATTTTTCTTCACAAATCCTTGATGTGCTCAACAAGAAAATAGGGCTTTTAGTAGTGATTAAACTTTTAAGTAGGAAGATCAACTATTGCCAGCTCGAGATGCAACTTCAGCTCACATGGCGTCCTCTTAGTTACTTTTAATTGAATGACCTTGATGATGAAAACTTTTTGGTTAAGTTTAATGACAAAGAAGACTTCTAAAGAGTTCTAACTATAGGTTCTTAAGTCATCTATAGACATTATTTGACCATTAAACCTTGGACGTCTACCTTAAAGCCACAGGAGCGTGAGATTTAACCATGTCATTAGATAGGTTTGTCTCCTAGGTCTCCTAACCTGATATTACCATAAAAGTATTATCTGCTCTATTGGTGGCATCCTTGGAAATGTTCTAAAAGCTTATTATAATGCAAAATCCAATGATCATCACAAGTTTACTCATCTTGCTGTTTCCATTGATCTTATAAAGCCTCTCATCTCAAAAATCCAAGTTGATAGAGAAACCATTTATGTTGAATATGAAAGCCTTCCACTGATATGTTTTCATTATGGTCGTTATGGTCATACTGAAGAAAGGTGCTAAAAAAAAGGTCAAAGGGCCTTAGACAAAAGGCTTCCCTCAGTTATTAATTCTTTGATTGCTAACTATGAACTTCAAATTCTTGTTATTGTAAAACCTAAAATTTTAGGCTCTAGAGCAGACAGAGTTATCAAGAAAATTAATTTACCCCACCACTACAGAATTGAAGCGTCAGGGTTCTTTAGGGAAATTTGGATTCTTTGGACTTTAAGAATTGCTGTTAGGATCTTGGCTAATCATTTCCAATTTATTCATATGGAAGTGTGTTTAATTCAGGAAGCCAAGTATTTCTTCTTTTTAGCTATTTACATGAGTTCGCAAGCTCAACTTTGTAAGTTGCTTTGGTAGAATCTTTGTACAATTACACCTTCTAATGATCACCTATGGCTCTTAGGTGGTGACTTCAATGCAATATTCTTATCTAATGAAAGAAAAGGTGGTATTAAAAGGTTTAATCTAGGATACAAGTTGTTCTAAAATTTTGTTAACTATAATGGACTCATTGATTTAGGCTTCAATAGGACTAAGTATACATGGCGTAGGGTACTCTTATGGTGCATCTTTATAGGGCCCTCTGCAATTCTAAGTAAGTTGACTCTTTTCACCTTAGCCACATTGATCATCTTCCTAAGGTTTTATCCGATCATAGGACTATACATATATATTTAGGCTTAGATTCTCAAAACCTACCTACTGAAAAGCCCTTTCATTTTTTAGCTTCATGGCTAACCCATCTAGACTTTAAAAACATGATCCAACAATCTTGAGCCTCTGATGAAAATCTAATGGTTAATATCCAAAATTTTATTGCTAAAGCCTAAGAGTGAAATGCATGAGTCATTGGGAATGTGGGCAAATAGAAGAGATGACTCCTTTTAAGATTATGAGGTATTCAGAAAAAATTAGAAACCTCACCTATGACAGAATGTCTTCTCTTTCTCAATAATTAGCTTTAGGATGACTTTGTAACTGCTTGCATGCAAGAAGAACTTATCTGGCTTTATAAATCTTTAGTTGACTGGTTGTAATTAGGAGATCAGAATACTTCTTTTTTCCACATGAAAGCCCTAACTTGAAAAAGAAACAATCATATCACCTGCTTTTGCAATAACCAAGGTGAGTAGATTGATGACAATTCACAACTCCTCAATATGGCTATGAGCTATTTTAAAAACTTGTACTCACTTGAGAATCAGACCTTTACTCCTTATTAAATCTCAGGTAAATTCCCTAAAATTTTTATTGAGCAGAGATTTAGGAAAGATGGTTACTTTTGAGGAGGTGAAGTATGCACTTTTTGATATGAAACTACTTAAATCCCCTAGTGCTGATGGGCTTCATGCTCTTTTCTTCCAAAGCTAATGGGACATAGTAGGTCCTAGTCTTTTCTCGATGATCAAGGACTTGTGGCTTGGTAATTTTCTAGAACCCTCCTTAAATCGTACTTTGATTGCCCTTATTCCAAATGTTGATAAGCCATAGTATTTATAGGAATTTTACCCCATTAGCCTTTGCTTTGTGGCTTATAAGGTTATCACCAAGCTTCTAGCTAATCAAATAAGTCCAATCCTACCTAAAATTATGGCTCCTTTTCAATTTAACTTCATTCAAAATAGAACCATCATTAATAATATTATTATAACTCAAGAGGTTATGCACTCTATGTGCAAGAAGTCTAAAAAAAAGGTTGGATAGCCATTAAGGTAAAGCTTAGAAAGGCTTTTGATAGACTTCGTTGGGATTTCATTAAGGATACATTGCATGATATAGGTCTTCCAAAAACTATGATTAAACTGATCATGACTTGTATTACCTCCTTCACTTTGCAAATTCTATGGAATGGTAAGCCTTTAAGTTCCTTTGTCCCCATGAGAGGCCTTAAACAGGATAACCCCCTCTCACCTTACCTCTTTGTCTGGTGCATGGAGCAACTCTCTCAAGTAATTTCTTTAACAGTTGAGAATGAAAGTTGGAAAACAATCAAAATGGGCAGAAGAGGTGTCCCACTTTCTCACCTCTTTTTCGCTGATAGTTTGATTTTATTTAGCGAAGTATCCAATTCTTAAGTTGATGTCATTTCAAAATTGTTGAAACAATTTTGTGATTCCTCAAGGCAAAAGTTAGCCATGCTAAAATCGACGTTTATTTCTTAAAGAATGTCAAGTCTAATATTAGGCAAGCTATCTGTTCTAGATTAGGTTTCAAACGGACTAACTCCCTCAGATGTTACTTAGAGGTTCTACTTATCAATAGACGAGTTACCTCTAAGACATACTTTTACATCCTTAAGAGAGTGTAACAAAAATTATTAGGATGGAAAAGTCGAACACTTTCCCTTACTGGTAGAATAACTTTAGCTAAGCCTGACATTAGCTCTGTTCCCCTTTATTCTATATAGATTGCCCTACTTCCCATTTTAATATGTAAAGCAATTGAAAAACTGAACAGAAAGTTCATATAGGGTTTTAATGAAGCAAATAGAGGAGTAAGCTTGGTTACATGGGCTGATCTATGTTAACCTTTAGCTAATGGAGGGACTTCTTAATTTGGAGGCTCAAAACAAAGCTTTCATATCAAAGCTTGCTTACAAACTGATTTCCCAACTTGACTTGCTATAAGTTCTGGTTTTGAGGGGAAGATACAGGCTCCTTGACCAATCTCCACAGGATATTAGTCAGAAGAATTGCTCTTCCATCTAGAGGAATATTACTTGCTTGTGGCAGGACATAATTATGCACGTTAAGTAGAATCTTAATAACAGTAGCAACATCAAATTCTGGATTGATTTTTGGCTTGGGGATTTTAGCCTACTTAAAATTCTTGCCTTCTTGAATATATTAGCTTATGATATGAATAGGATAAAGGTCAATGGTGTTAGTCGCTCTTTCAGCACCTTTTATCTACTCATATACTATAGAATATTATAGCAAATCCTATTAATGTTAATGATAATGATCCTCCTTCATGCTATTGGAGCCTTACAGCTCATAGTGAATTTACAATAAAATCTTTTTATATGGACTCTCAATGTTTAAGATGGAATGAGGCTAATATGGATTGGGCAAGAATCTGGAAACTGCTAGTTTCTCAACGAGTTAGAACTTTTTTATAGCTTCTTTTCAAAGACAAACTTCTTACTAATGCTAAGCATTTTAGATGCCATATGTTATCTAACAAATCCTACTTCTTATGCTCAACACAAGAGGAATCCATTGAACATGGTTTTAAAAGATGCCCACTTTTTGCTGTAGTTTAGAAAAAAGTTTTGCCTACAGACATGTGTACTGACTTTTATAAGATATTTGATTATTTAGCTTCACAAATTATTTCGAAACAAGAGGACAAACCCTTCCTAAAAGATTAGAGTGAGTGTTCTATGTTGGAAACTTTGGGAAGCTAGAAACTTGAGAATATTCACTGATGACCATTGCACTACTGAGGATGTGCTTCATCAGACCCGTGCGATAGTTGTTGATACTACTAAAGCTTATTCTATTTTTCCCACTCTAATGTAGTTGTTGTCTTCTTTGCTATGACTTTTTCTTGTTTCTCCTTATATAGTTTCAAAACTTTTGTTTCCCTAAGTTAATAATATTCATATTTTACTAAAAAAAGAGGGTAGTAACTGGCACCTTGTAAACAACAATTGGATTCAAAAGGAGTATTATATTATTTGTACAATCAATTAACACGTGGGTGTCTACGATGTTGGATTCTATAAGGAAAGCACATGGTCCTTTTATTTTACTCCCCCAACTCCCTCACCTCTAAATCTTTTGAGAGATAATGTTCAAGGGTTCTCTAAAATTGGATGCGATATCACCCATAAGTGATAACCCTACAATCACTATTCAAAGGGGATTGATTGTTATCTTCATCCAGTCGAAAGAAAAGGCAAAGGCCAAAGAATTAGGAACTAGGGTTGAGAAAGAAGAAGCTAGTTCAAGAAAAGTTTTGAAAAATGGCCAAATATGAGTACGATGATGTACTCTAAACACAAGGTATGTGTGAATGTTGCATGTGTGTCTTCTTTCTCATTTCTTCATTTGTTTTTTTTTTTTTGCACCCATCTTATTTTTTTCCCCATATTTTTTACAGAATTATATGTAAATTGTTACTTACGACAAGAGATTGGGACTTGTCCTTGTTAAGCCAATATCTAATGCCTCAATAATTTGATTTATTTGTTATCAAAAAAAGATATTTAGAATTGGATTTCAACTTTCAAGTAAGCCTATATACAACTTTCCGCTATTGGGCTTCAAGTAAGCCCATAAATACAAAGCCTTTTTTTTTTATTTTATTTTTGAGAAAATATAAAGCCTGGGCAATGAGTGTTTGGTCTGAATCTGCTAGAACAATCCATAAATGTTGAAGAGAGCTCTCGTAGGCGCCGTCGGTGTTGCAGCCGCTTTCCGGCGCCCCCGTCTGTCGGGAACTCGGCACGCTGGAACCCTTTCCTCCGCCGTGAATTCCATGCTTCTCCGCTCGCTTAAGGAGCACTATCTTGAAGTGGCCAAAATGACCATGCCTCCTGTACTTCAACTGAACATTCACTTCGTTTTCTTACATTCTCTTGCTTGTTTTGTTGAAAGCTTGTTTTAATTTCTTCCGCCTCTTTGGTGCGATGCAGAAAGTAGCTCCTCCTGATGGGTTCTCTATTGTGAAAGGTGCGCTTGATTCTGATGGTCCAGTCCTCAAACGAAAATATGGCGATGAAGAAATCAGCATCTACGTAACACGATTGCTTAGTGGAATGGACGACGAGAATAGTGGGATTGATCAGATGTTCCTTCATGTGGATGTATCCAAACCCGCTCAGTGCGAATCATTGATTTTCTTGTGTGGACTGTACGAAGATGCTTTGGGAATTCATTCTGTTTCAATGAGGCCAAAGGACCCGAAGACTGGTTACCTTGTTATTCCAACTCACTATATTGGGCCTAATTTTGAGTAAGTTATGATTCTTTTCTTCCTGCTTCTCAAGCTGTTTCGTTTATTTTGGTAAATGCATGTTCCTTTGTGGTTCAAATGCAAGCCCGTTGATTCTTGTGCCGTACACTTAACACTCCTCTTAGTGTCTTTCCTCTGAGGTGGGTTCATGAGAAACTTATGCTTAACTTGAAGTAGATGATTCATTGATTCTTTTCCACTGGCGCGCATCAAGAAGATGAACTCTTAATTTCTATTAAACATGTAAGCATATATCACCCCACTTGGTGGGATAAGTGCTGCTGCTGCTGCTACATATCAAATGCCGATAGGATGGCTAAATTTAGAAAATTTCTTTGAGGTTCTATGATATGAAGTGGCTGCTGTGTGTCCTACTCAGGATTCAAACTTGTAACCTGTCCGTACTTTATGGTTTTTCTTCATCATATGGGATTGCATGCTTTATTAATTATGCAATTATGGAATGACCCTTGTTTGTGTGAAAGCCAGGCCTGGTGAATGTATTATGAATCATGTCTAGTTTAGGATTTGAAGTTTGGAAGGCTAGAATCAGCTATAACAATTTTAAAGTGGCTCTAATGTATCAACCAAGTAAGCCTTGAAGAAGTTTATGCTGGGGTATTTCTGTCATCAATTCGTGAAGCAAGATTTCCTTTCTATAATACAAATTTGGTAAAGACATTAGATGTTCATGCCTATTGGGGGATGCCAAAAGACCAATGGGCTGAAATTGAGTGAACAGCGTTGAACATATTCCTAAATGGTCACATGGCATACCAGAGGTTTAGCTGCATAAGTGAAATCGCCTTTATTGAAATTATGTTACATTTCTTTCCGTCTTGTCCTTATGGGACACTTGCTAACCCTTGAGGAACCGTGGGGTCATGTTGTCAGAAGTCAGGATTACCTCTTGATGGATTTGGGATGGCTTGGGGGGGGGGGGGTTACCACAGGGAAGGTAGGCGATATGGAAACCCCCCCCCCCCCCAAAAAAAAAATGCTGATGAGCATGCTTTTGCACTCCTTTCCTACCTGGGAGATCCAAGCTTATGAATTATGATGAAAATTGCAGAATTTTGCTTCTCATGATGAAAAAGAAAACCCCCTCCCGTGTAGAATTCTGCTGGAAAATATGAACAATCTGGCTCTTTTATAGTCGCCATTTTTTTTCTCTTACCATATTCGGTACCTTCTGTCATCTATTCTAATTTTAATGATTAGTGAACTTGTGAATTGACAGAGAACTTGATGAAAGGACGAGGGATGCATTTCACAATTACATAGAGGAGCGAGGAGTAAATGAGAGCCTCTTCAAATTTCTGCAGGCATGGCTCTATGTGAAGGATCATCGAAATCTAATGCGATGGTTCAAAACACTGGGTATATTCATTGATGGAGGAAAGAAGCAAGCTGAAAATGCTTAATCGTCTCTGATGGAATTATTTGTGATGCAACAATGCCCTATGCTTCATGAGTATTGAGTAAAGAATTTAGAAATATAATAGCGTTCTACGATAATTCTGGTGCGTGCAATAATTCTAATATTGGGTTTGCTCTCCCTTTTGAAATTTTTGGCTTGCTTTTAGATTAGAATAGCTCATGTACACACTCTTGTTACTCACAATATTACTCCTTTCGGTCTTATTTGCTAGTAGTCACGTCACGTTTTAAAAGATTTTCTTGGCCCTTAATGTAAGTCATTCTTCCTTTTTTTTTTTCTTTTGTAATCTTTGATGTATTATGAATACCCTCTTACAAATTCTTCTCACATCACATCACTGTTATGTAAATTTAGGAACAAAAATGAAAAGTAGTTTAAATTTAAGACAGTTTTACTACTTCAACTAACTTGTCTTATTTTGGTGAGTTTATATGCTTTTCTCTTTTTCAAAGAACCGAAGGGTGGTTTAGTGATTCTCATGCTATTTAATGATGATTTCATCAAAGACTGCCTAAATGGGGCCCCGCATACTTAGCCCGCAATTTTGTGATGCCTATTTCATGGAGAAATGAACAACGTTGTTTATTATTTATAAGGGAGAATCACATCCAGGGAACTACAAGGCGCAACTAATTCTGATATGTCTTTGCAGGCCCAAAGGCCTTCTTTGCCATTAAATTTCTTGAGGAATGTGACCAAATTATCTCTCACCCTTTCTTCCTTCCCTTCCTCCTTGCTCTTCCTCTTCCTCCAAGCATTTTGTTCTTGGATGATATATGAAGATGGTGGGAGATCACAAATAATTACAATGACTCTGCGTGATTAATATCTCCCATTTTCATCAAGGATTTTTAGAGATTGTGATTTTTTTTTCTAATGACCTCCCACACGACATCTCCTCTCTCTCTTATAACTGCATAGTGCAACGGTTGTGCGTTCTTGAAGTCTGCCACATCATAAGCTTTCAACAATTGCTTTCCACAATGTTGATGTGGCCTTCTGCAGAAGCTAAGTGGAAAGGCGTACTTCGTATAGAGTTCTGCTCAAGGGCCAATTCTGGTTTGTGAGAAGGTAGAGAGTCACACCCATGAATTGGTGCGTGTGTGTGTATCAACAGACATTTTATTGTAAATAAATGGATTTTGATTGTTATTTATAAACTTTCTGTTGCAAGTTTCTTGTGGGTTACTTGTAAATTTTTGAAGTTGGATATGCTTGCTGACTTTTTGGTATATATTAGAATGAAATTTGATGCAAAATTTCATGCCAGCATTTATTTTAGCAAGGGCTAGTATCAGGTTGAACTTATCCAAATCTCATGCAAGTTGTATTTATGAATTTTTTTGTTGTAATATTTTTTTATCATTGATGTTCATTGTCAAAATTACATGATCTTGATAAGTGGACATCTTGTTGAAAATAATTGAACTTTGATTATTATTTATAAATTTTGTTATAAATTTCATCTAGGTAAACTTGTAAAATATATACCACTATATAGGGCTGTGTAAAAGTTTTCCAGTCCTGTTTGGTTCAGTACAATTTGAGATTGTCTCAATCTTGTTCGGTCCGTATAGTCACTGGTCTTTCAGGATCAAAAAGACTGAAAATATCAGACTATTTTTTTGGGTTGGACTGGATAAGAGATTAGGTATCCGGACCACTTGATCCAATTCAGTCATATTAATTTTTTATTATAATTATAATTAATTTATTTTTGACAAATGTTTGAAGTGTAATTAATGCTAAAGAGATAATTGTATAAAAATTTGTTGAGTTTGTTTCTAAATTATTATTGTAATGTAGTGTTATTGAATTTTATTAAGTGTTGTTTTTGTTAAAGTTATAAATTTAAATCATTTAAATCATTTAGACTATAACAAAAATATTTTTTTATTATTGAAAATTATTATGAATTTATTATTATTATAAGTGTTTTTACTATCTTAATTGAGTTTATTATGTTGAAATAAATTATTGTCTCTCATAGAATAAAAAGAAAAAAACACTAAGTAAGTACTGAACTGACAAGACTAGTCTTCCAGTTTTATAGACCAAGTCTGGTCTTGTTAATCTTCGAATTATCATTGAATAAGATTGGACTACGAGTTGCCTAACCTCGTCGTTTTCATAAAAGAGACCAGACTTCGGGTTAGGATGAAGTCCAATGCTGTCCTGCCTTTTGTGTAGCCCTACCACCATGTTTGCCTTATAAGTTATATTTACAGCACTACTAATAAGTGGGTAGAGTTGGGAATAAGGGCCGAATCTGAAGGCTGCCTGTTTAAATCCATTTTTATAAGGATTCGGGCTTGAAAAAAATGACATTTTTTAATGAAATTGAGCTCTCAAGCCCGGTCCTGATAGACTTTAAAAATACGGGCTCAGGTTCGGGTGATCCTTTTAAATTTATTTTTATTTTTCTCTTAAAAATAAAATATTTTTAATTTTTATATTGAATTTAAACTTTAGAATATATGTTTATATTTTAAAATTAAAATTTTTATTATTTATTTTTAATTTTTAAACATTATAATTTATATTATAAAAAATATATAAAATATTATAATTAAAAAATTAATTTTTCAATTTTTTTTTAAATAAAAACTTATAGAATTGATCCTGAACTTTTTATATAAAAATTAAATTTTAAAAAATGAGGTATTAAAAAAAAATTAAACTGAAGAGCTTGAGCTTCTAGAAACCGAGCCTATAAAGTTAAACCCATATGGGCTGGGTTCACCAGTTTTCCAATTCTACAAGTGGGTCCATTATATTCGATAAAAGTCCATGCATTAAAAGCTAAATGTCAGAAATGACCAGAAATGAAAGGATCGCATCCTAAGGTGCACCAATGGCAACACTAATCGTTGCTTCGCTATTATTTTGCAAAGACGTTGCCTTCTGCAGATGCATAATAAAATATTTGAACCACGCCTTTGAAAGTTGTGAATTGAAAGCTGACACGTCCAAGTTTACTTTTTAAGCAAGTTATATCTTTTTAAAACTACACCAACTACACGGTTGTGATCAGAGGAGTCACGTCTCTTCCAACGCTAGTGGTGTAGTTGCGAATTGGACGATCGATGTCACTATTGGCTTCATTTCTGGTCTCTTTTAGTGCATGTTTTGATTAACTTCTAACTTCAATTAAAACGAGTCAAACTGAAATTAAGACGTAAAAAGCTTAAAAAGTATTATTTGATTTAGCAAAAATTTTCAACCTAAGTTAAGATTAAACAAGCGTTTTTTAAGAAGCCATCAGACCTGACTTTTTTACCTCAGCGTTAACCTTCGGCTGTTGGAAGCATTAATTGTCTTTTAAATTTTTATACTTTCTCTCTCTTCTCATTTATCTACCACGAGCTTTGCTTTCTTCCTGTGCGTCTTCCTTTCTTGCTCACGTGACCTCTCGAGCTCTACACTTTCAGATCTAGTCCATCACCATCCTCATCTGCTTCTTCATCCTGACCCTCTATGGCTTTCACAGAGTGGAAAAACTTGCTTCTCTCATAACTTCGATAACACTTGGGTCATCAAATATGGATATGATAAGATATTTGAGCTCAACTTTCATGGCTAAGAGAGGTTGCTCCTACTGCTGCTTCGAACAACCACGATGTGATGAGCTTGAGCACACTTGAGGGCAACCATTAAAGCATTAAAAATGGGAGGTTCCATCTTAGCCATTATATTGTTAGTTAGATTTAAGCTCCTTCACATTCCATGATCTCCTTCTTCCTGCCCCTGTTTTTGAGCTCTTAAAACAGAGCTCAAAAACTCTTAAAACAAAGCTCAAGAGCTCTTCCTGCCAAGTTGAGCACCACGTGTTGACCTCCCAATATTCACAAATGGTGAGGAGTGGGAGCGAGTGAGTGAAAGAGAAGACACACTAGAGGTAAGAGAGAGAGAGGAGAGAGATGCTTGACTGGTATAAGCATTGCCTGGTGAAAGTGGACTCACAGTGGTGAGGAGAAAGAGAAGCATATATGATAGTGAGGAGAGAGAGTGAAGGAGTGGGATTGCTTTATCAGTGGAGGAGGAGGAGAAAGAAAAAGATACAATGGCAAGGAGAGAGTCAGAAAGAACAATGCCATGTGTTAAATTCATGTGAGCCTACAAATACAATATTGAATAAATGTCCACTAGTGGCAACTTAGTGGATTTGATAACTTTAATAATTAATAATTTATTTTACACTATTTCATAATTAATAATTAAATATTTAAAATATTTTAATTTATAATATTAAATTTAATATTTTTTATTTATTAGTTAGTTAAAAAAATATATAAAAAATTTTATGTTTATTTTAATCACTAAAAATTTAAATTATATTTTAAATCAAATTATTTAAATAAATTTAAATTTATTTAATTTATTTTTTAAAAAATATTCAAACATAAATTATGTTATATTAATTAATTTTTTATAAATTTTAATTTATTAACCTCAATTGAATCATAACGTTAGTTGTAAATTTTTTAATTTAAACACACTCTTAAAATTTAACTTATTTATTAATACTTGAATTTTTACTTGTGAATATCTAAACGTGGACCGGTTGGTGTTATAAAGTGTAAATGATAATGCATATATAGGATTGTATTTTTGCCAAGTTACCTAATGAAATTTACTATATAAAATGTGTAAATATTAAATAACAATCAAGATGCAATTATTTTCAACGAAATATTCGCTTATCAAGCTCATGTGATTTTGACAATTAACATCTACGGTCTAAAAATTTCTACAACAATAAGTTTGTAAATAACATTGATAATGTTATGCTAATCTGACCTTTCTAATAAAACAAGTGCTCAAATTTCATGTTTATATACAAAAAAATCAGAAACTATGTCTAACTTAAAATTTATTAGAAAAAATTTACAAATAACCCATAAAAAATTTATAACAAAAAATTCATAAATAACAATCAAAATCTATTTATTTACAACAAAACATTCATTTTGATATATACAATAATTCATAGGTGTGACCCTTTCTTTTCTCATAAACCAAAATTGGCACTTGAGAGGAACTCTAAACAAAGTATGCTTCTCCACTTAGCTTCTGCAGAAGGTCGCATCAACTTTCTGGGAAGCAATTTTTAAAAGCTTGTGAGGAGGCACGCTTTAAGAAGGCACAAAACCCTTGCATTATGCAGTTATAGGATAGAGAAGAGATGTTGTGTCAGAGCTCATTAGATAAAAAATACCAGAATCTCTAAAAATCCTTGATGACAAGGCAAAGAGGAAGATCTTAATCATGCATAGTCATTGTGATTGTTTGTGATCTCTTGCCATTTTCATATATCATCCAAGAAGATACCACTTGTCGGATGGGGAAGAGTGAGGAAGAAGAGAAGGAAGAAAAAATGACTGGTAATTTGGTTATTTTCACAAGAAACTTAATTGCAAAGGAAAACCCTTATCCTACATAGACATATTAGAATTGTTTAGGCCTTACTTGTAATTTTTTTCATTTTAAGAGCCCTAAATGTGATTGTCCCTATTTACTATTTATAAATATTGTCTTACTTTTATATTAAAATAAAATGTATATATCCTCAATTAGACAATGATATTTTTTAAATGCTATTTAGTTTAAGGTTCCCACAACTAAAATATATATCCTTAACACTAAAGTGTTAATCGTAGAAGAGATACTTACATTTAACATCCGATCATGTTTTAATTATAATTGTTTTAATAAAAAGATACTAGTATATAATTAAAATAATAATAACCAACCAACAGAATTTACCTCATAAAGTGGTGAATCAATACTCGAATCATTATTAAAGGATATATCTATATTTGATGCCCACCTATATCTTGAATATGATTGCTTTTAATAAAAAGATATTTATGAACAATTAAAAGAAATGTTAGTCAGCGTGTGTTATGGTTCTAAGGAAAAAATTGGACTAGTTTATCAAAATAAGTTTAAAACATTTTTTTAACAGATTTCGCAAAAATACTTTTTCATAAGTTCAAACAAACGAGTTGAAAAAGGACAATCAATATAAAATGCACCCCAGACAAGCGCAATTTTTGCCCTTATCACAAACACCATCTTCGGGCCCAAGAAAACGTCAGGCTATTTCAAAAGCTCATAGATTGGGCCCCTGGATCCGCTAAAAAAAGTGGTTTGGTACTTCGGTATCTGTTTCTGTAAAACCCGACCCGAAACTATCATAGGGTTTAGGTTTCCACCTCAAGGAACTCGCTGATGCTGCTGTCCAACGTCTCATGCGCCCAAAAGCTTGGGTGCTGTACGGTACTGAAGTTGATATTCTGGATTCCTTTATCTTCTGGAAATTTTACTCCTGAAACTTGTGAGTTTAACAATTACATCTTCAATAACGCGTTCGTCTTACTGTATTCCAATTCTTCTTTTTTCTTTTTTTGGCATGCGACTGTCTGCATCCTTCCACTGCTACGAAACTTTAAATTTAAGGGTTTGGTTTATGGATCAGTAGTTATCATTGATTTTAATTAGTGTTTGGAACGAAACCCTTGCCTTGATGAGCGGGTTGATGTTTTCGTTTACTGTTTGTAAAGATTTGAAGTTCTTGAGCTTTTGAAAAGTTGTTTTTGAATTATACTTGTTATGGATAATTTTCAAGTGATGGCCAAAAGATGATTAATTTTCATGTGGGTATTCTAACTCTGGTGCTATTTGGTTGATTGGGTAGTTCCGGATGGTTACATCTCAATTGGGAATTTCCTTTGTGACTTTCTGATGATTGCTCTATTAATCTTGATATTTGTTTTCTGTCTCAGCAAGCTGAGTGTGTGTGAGACAAAGATGGGTGAGGCTGGGGAAGCAGAAGAGAGGCCTAATTTCAGAGATATTAGACGCTATTTCTGTGAATACTGTGGCATCTGCAGGTCCAAGAAGACCTTAATAACCGCTCATATCAATACCCACCATAAGGTACTTTCGTGGCTTAAGAAGGCTACTGTTATTCTGTTAACCAAAAAATTTTCGATTTCTCAAAATTAATTAAATAACTGCTTAAATTATGATGTCTCTCAGGAGGAGGTGGAGAAAGCCAGAGTTAATACAGGTTCCGAAGTAGAGGATGTTAAATCCAACAATTGCAAGGAATGTGGCGCTAGTTTTAAAAAGCATGCCTATTTAATACAGCACATGCAAAGCCATTCACTTGAGGTATTTATTTTTCAACGTGCTAATATTCTGCTGTCCAAATTTGTGAAGATGTTAAGCTGTAGATATTTTGAATACTTGGAGAAAAAAGATGGAAGATCACAATTGATCTTCACTTCTTGATGTCCATAATGTATGAGTCAAGCTGTCTATGTGGGAACTAGCTGTCAGCATTCATGTTTGAGGCCCCTTAGCTACAAACTTTTTAAATTTTTCTAATATATATTTGTTTGTGTTAACACCGGATGTCGGATGATAATGGTTGATCAAACAACTGAAGATACAAATTTTTGCAGGGAAGTAGTTTATAAGATACTGTTGTTATTGGAAATTTGTGGATGTTATGGCGTGAAGCATTGGATCCCAGACAAAGAACTCCAAAATGCATGAGGCATCATATATCAACCTGATGGATCAGTATCAGGCAGGGAGACCTCCTGAGAAGCTCCATCAGGGTGCCTCAGTCACGCTTTATTGAGTAAGGTTTGCAATATTTTGCTCATGTCTTGTTCTTGTCAAAGCACAGTGAGAACTATTTTGATTCTTGCATTATAGCTTTTAACACTTATTTTATGGTTCCAGAGGCCATATGTGTGTTCCATTGAGGATTGTCAGGCAAGTTACAGAAGAAAGGACCATTTGACTCGCCACTTTCTTCAACATCAAGGGCAAACTTTTAAGTGTCCAATTGAGAGTTGCAACCGTGATTTTGCTTTCCAAGGAAATATGACAAGACATGTTAAGGAATTTCATAATGAAAACTCTACCTCTACCACTGTTGAAAATCCGAAGCAGTATGTTTGCCCAGAAGTTGGTTGCGGCAAGGTTTTCAAATTTGCATCAAAACTGAAAAAGCATGAAAATTCTCATGGCAAGATTCTTTCCCTTTGAATATTATCTGTAATTTCTGAATTCCCTGAGATGTCAAGTGGCCTTGACATGGACTCACAGGGTGACTCGTAAGTTTTAAATGATATTTTGGACTAAATTTGAAAGAATGTCTTTCTTCTGCAGTGAAGCTGGAGTCAGTAGAGGTAGTCTGCTTGTATCCCGATTGTATGAAGCATTTCACCAATGAGCACTGCCTTCAAGAACATATCAAATTGTGCCACCAACACGTGACCTGTGAGATCTGTGGGAAAAAGCAGCTGAGGAAAAATATTAAGCGGCATCTTCATATGCATGACACGTGTAGTTCGTCAGAGGCATTTAAATGTGAATATGAAGATTGTGATTGCACATTCTCAAGTGTAAGAAATCAGAAATCCATACTAACTGTTCAACGTGCAATTTAACTGAAGAGCTGCCTATGTGCCGGATTATACCATTTTGGTAGTAATTGAATCTTTGTAATTTACTTGGATTATGCATCAACAGAAATCTAATCTCCAGAAGCATGTGAAGGCTGTGCACTTTGAGGAGAAACCTTTTGTGTGTGGCTTTCCTGGTTGTGGCATGAGATTTTCTTACAAACATGTGAGAGATAACCATGAAAAAACTGGGTCTCATGTCTATAGCATGGTAAGTTCGTTTGTTCGCACGCCTTCAACTCGTTTGAAGAACTTTGGATATCTCAGGCATAATATGCTCGAGTTTTTTATTGACAATCAATGGTTGCCTTGTTTCAGGGGGATTTTGAAGAAGCTGATGAGCAGTTCAGATCAAGGCCTAGAGGAGGACGAAAGAGAACGTATCCTACTGTTGAAATGTTAGTTAGGAAGAGAGTTACTCCGCCCAGTCAATTGGATCACTGGTTACTCATGCAAGATGATGATTAGATGCTCTTAAGTTGTGTGAACTACATTTAAGTGCCCCTCGCTGCCAGCCATCCAGAAGTGACATTACAGCGATCCTTGGGTTGGAGAAATTATCTGAAGAATCATTGATTCAGAGCAAGAGCATGAAAAATTGCTGTAATTACCAATTTTCTGTGGAAACTTTGTTGGTCTAAGTGAGATGATTTTAGGGATTACATGCAGTGAGTCAGGGCGTTGACTTGTCTGAGTTTCCAGTCTGTGGATTGGGCTTCCATGTTAATTATGGGATGTCCATGTCGCCTGTGGAGAGAGGGAGAAGGCTAGTTTTGTTCCTATACAGAGAGTTGTAAATATACGATTGAATTGTTATGGCCACCAATATTTTGCAGCTATCTATCTTTGCGCATTATAAATGGAACCGTTTTGATTATTTTGTCCGTAGTCCAAATTTGAATGTTGATTTTGTTCAACCACTGCCTCGCTTCTCCATTTTCATGTTCTGTAAGCAATAAATGAATTTGTGACGTCTCACCTTCCTTTCAATGATGTTTGAAGTGTGCTATTTTGTAGCTCTTTCTTTTGATTGGATTAATTACGTTTGTTGACACCTGATAACACGTGTCTCTGTGTGTGTGGAGTACATATATGCATGCGCACTCAAATCTATAAAATAAAATTACATGCATTCAATTTTTTGATAGTTTGGGCCCACACAACAAAGGCCTAGCAATTTATCTTCTTTAAGCTTAACTCAAGGAACCCAAGCAATACGCGGATCGAGCGCGTAAAAGTGTTTTTGTTAAATAGTGATCAAGCCCAAGTAAGGTGGTTTTGTTTGTTTGAAAAAATGTTTTCAATATTATTTAAAATTTAAATCTTGTAGTAAGCAAAATATTAATATTTAATCATAAAACCTTGAGACGAATAATTTGTATTCGTAAGAAATGTCATTATTTCTAGCTCTATTTTTGGTTGCGTCCATGATTTATTGTGAGTGGTATAGTGAAGCTAGGATGCTTGTTTTAACATTACTCACTTCATGCATGAAAATCAGTAGGAGAAATCTTTGAGTGATTTTAGTTTTGAAATTATACCTGGATTACATGCGACGATTATTATCCTATGAACAAAATTAGTATGATTTTATACGTGGTTGACGACGATATTAGTTTCTTCTTGACAAAAAAGAATATTATTTATTACATACTCTATTTTCTTTTTTACTTACCAGTTATTAAATTATGAGATGTTACTTAGTTATTAAATACTATGTAATTTCAAATAGTAAAGCCGAGGCTAAGGTAGCTGCTTTTAACACCTCCGACGAAGCCTATTTTGTTGTATTTGGTATATGTATGTTGTTGCCTTTATAGATGAAGCCTCACAAATAAGATGATTTAAAGCCTGTTTAGTTTCTATTCTCATTTTTTATTTTTAAAAATGATTTTGCAATACAATTTTAAATTTTTTTTAAAATAAAATAAAATAAAAATTTGTTTAATTATGTCAATTAAAAATTGATTTTAAAATTAAAAAATGAATTGATAGTAATGATTATAAGTAGTTAATGGTGGTGATTGATAACAAAAATTAGTTAAGGTAATTATAATTTTTAATAATTAAATATAGTGTATTTTAAAAATAAAAAAATAAAAGGGGACAACTTGAAGTCGTTTCTATTTAAAGAAAACAAAAAATAAAACAGTTTTAAAAACAATTAAATAAAAAACGCTTATCCAAACTAATTTTTTTTATTTTTTTTATTTTCAAAAATAAAAAATAGTTTTTAAAAACAGAAAACAAACAAGCCCTTAAGACATCTTAATTTCTCTCAAGCAATATTATAGCCAACTATAGATATAGAAAGAATCATAGTGCAAGGTCACTGGAGTTACTAATGATTTCTGTATTATCTCCTCCCAATTTTATCTTGCAATAAGAAGAGAGATGGAATTTAGGAGTGAGAGGAGGGAGTCCATCTTGACACATGAGACTCACACACTCATCTCCCTCTATATATCCATTTATAGAGTAGGGGAGAACTTGTGTTTTTACATTATCACCATTGTATTGGCGAGTTCTTTGTTTTTTTTTTTTTTCCTCTTGTGCATTCGGTATATTGAGCCTATCTCACATTGAGTTTATAAAATTTATTGGGATCCAAACTAATCTTGATTGAGCATTGACATACCCTTTCAAGGTGGCACCACTAAGTTTTAACATTGCTGCATTCTTAGAGCTATTGAAATTACTAAGTGAGTTGGAACAATCACTTACCTGTTGATCCATATAGTTGGTGGTATAGTGTTGAGTCTCTTTACTACTATGCAGGTATGTATCTGTGCACAATAAGGGATTCTAAATATCTGCTGCAACTTTTCTCACTTTTTTTTTTCTATTTTTACATTCTCTCAATAATGACATGTAATTCGAGGTTCTACTTGTTTTATTTTTTTAAAAAAAAATTGTAAAGTGTTGTGTGTCCGAGGATGTAAGGAAATTTGTAGCAAAGTGCATGTATACATGGAAGTATGAGGGCACACACTTCTATGTGGGTATGGAAATTTTAATCCAAAAATAAGGATATGGATAGGAGCATCACTTAGAATATTTCAATGACCTTGTGGTCATCAAAGTAAATAATGAAATGGTTGACTTAAAGTCTGAATCCAATTAAGAAAGGCTCTTGAACATAGACAACTATGGATGATATTGAGGATGTTTGGTTTCTATTTTTAAAAACAATTTTTTTGTTTTTAAAAACAAAAAATAAATAAAAAACTTGACTAGATTAGCGTTTTAAATTTAATTGTTTTTAAAATTGTTTTTATTTTTTGTTTTTAAAAACAAAAAAAATAAACATCCTAGAACTATTTTATTTTTCTTATTTTTAAACTATATTATATTTAATTATTAAAAATTACAGTCTCCTTGACTAATCACCATCATAAGCCATCATCATTATCTGTTGGCAATCATCATTATCACAATTTTAAAAATTACATTGCAAAATAATTTTTAAAAACAAATAATAAAAACACAACCAAAAACAAGGCTCATTATCCATGATTGTTTCATGCTGAAAGTTGTTTTGAGCATTAGCTTCTTTCTACATCTATAACAATTGGATTATGTTTTCCTATACCAAGTTTGTACTTTCTTACTTCCAAATTGTTACTACCTTTTTTCATAAATCCAAATTGTTATTTTTCTAAGCCCAAATTATTTTCCCATGCCTTCGTGAGTTGTTATGAAGTTTAGAGGCAAACATTAAATTATTAAAATTTAAGAGATTGGGTTACATCAAATTAAAATTTATGAGTTATAATCAAATTAAAATAACAGTCGCTAAATGATTAACTTTTCCAAAGCAACAATGACAAATAATTGAGATTTTTTAAAAAAATTAAAAAAATATTTTACAAATTCACAAAAACATAAAAATGACATTGTTTACACACAAACATGCACTCACATCAGTCTTAAATATAAATGACCTCTTAAAAAAAATTGATGACTCTTTTTTATTAGTCATTTTACATTAAAAAAATAGATTATTAATTACTTTCTTTCAATTTTATTCTTTCATAATTTTTTACAAGTAGCATGAAAGGTTATACATAAGACAAATTATTTATAAAGATGGTACATTAATAAAAAATCAATTTAAAAAATATCTTTTAAATAATGTCAATAATTTTACTACATCTTTTTGTCTCAATAAAAATAGTTAAAAGTGATTTATGAATATCACTTGAGGAATACTCCCTCAAGTCTTTATTATAAGGACATTGGTGAAGTATTAATTATATTTTTTAATATCATTTTTATTTAAATTTATTATTTACGATAGAAAATTAATTATGATTGGTTCAATTAGTGAGGACTTAACTCATAATTAACAAAGTTGTAAAATCAAATCACCCTCTTGATATGAGAATTTTATTAGTAAACAATCTATAAGTACTTTTGTAAGTATTCATTGAACTTTAAGGCATGCCTGACTTGATGAGATGAGCTCTTAAAACTTAACTCTTTTTTTTTTTAAGTTCACAAAAAAAGAAAGAAGAGAAAACATAATATAAATTTGAATTTTTTTTATTTAAATGAGTAAAATTAAAAATTTACTTTTTTATCAGATGAAATTAATAGCTTAATTATATCTATTTAATTCTGATAAGATTTTTAGAAATACTTTATAATATGGGAAGAAGTATACCAGTGCAGTTGCAATTGATTCCGGGGGCCAAATCAAACGAAACATCCTCAGGGAAGAGAGTAACGGAATCAAGTAAGAGAAGGATGAGTGGATGCGTAAGTGTTGACAAATCACAAGTAAAGATAAGGCCAACACACAAAAGGCATTTGTATTATTATTAATATAATTGAGGCTCTTGGGCCCCACTCACAGTGATTATCCTCGAAAAGAGAGAGAGGCGCGTGGGGTGGGGGTACGTTGGTGACACGCAAGAGTCAGATACATTGCACTCACAGACGAATCAAGCAAGCGTGACGGTAAGGATTGAATTGGATTGGACTGGAAGAAGCAGAGAACAGAACAGAACAGAACATTGCACCTTGAAATCTTGGATTCTGAATTAACACAAAAAAGCAAAGGCCAAGTTTGAGCCAAGTTGCAGAGATATTCAGTGATTCTCTGTGGTTGTACAGTGCTGGTTTTGTTTGTTCGGTGCAATGAACGCAAAAGTAATCCCCAAGCTCAGAATCTGGGGCTGTTTCTGACACGCGCCATTAAAGAGAAGGACAAAATGCATTGAACCCGGACTCGTGGTTTTGGTTTGGGAGATAACAAGACAATCAATAATGTGTTTGGTGTTTATTACGTAACAATAATTCACAAAGTAGTAATAATAATATCTTTGTGTCAGTACTCGGTACATTCCCATTCCCGTTTGATTCCCTTCCTTCTCTGTTATTTTCTTTGTTTTCTTTTTTCTTTTTGGCCAATATTTTCCTTGTTTTCTCAGTTTCCACACATTCTCGGACTTTGAGAGCATCTTTTATTGACCTATTTCTTTCTTTTATTTCTTCATTTTACATCCCAATCTACAATCAACTCTCTACATCTCAAATGATAACATATTTTTTAATTTTAAATTATAAAATAATTTAAAATAAAATTATACATACTAATAAAATATAATAATAATAATAATTTAAGATAAGATTATGTATGCTAATAAAATACAATAATGACATTTTTTAAAAAAAATTCTGTACAATTATTACATTACAATATCATTTCAATTCTTGTTTTACTAAAATTATAATATTAAAAAAGTATTATTCATGAAAATTTATTTTTTTAAATTGTTTTATATTTTGGGATAGTAAAATAATTTTGAAAGCATTTCATTTCTCAAAATATAAGATAATTTAACCCAAATAAAATCTCATTAACGATATTTTTTT